AATTATATAACATTTATTATAATATATAATTATATATAATTATAATAATATATAATAATATATAATAATATAATTATATTAATATTAATAAGATATAACATTATATATATATATATATAAAATTTATATATATATGTATGTATGTATGTATAGTAAAGTTTGTAGGTGGTGATGACATTCACTGCCATAATAAGAAAAGTCAACCTTGATCTTGCCTAGCAGCCTCACAGTATTTAGCATTATTTTATCTCCGTTATGAAGCCCCCAGACCTACCACATGCAGCTGATAATATCATGCAAGAGGCAGATTTAAACTTTATTGCATTGATTTTATGTTTTGCCTCACACAGTGATTACTGAATCATCTTTTTCTCTTTAGTCCAGACAGACACCGGAGGGGGAATTTCTGCCCCTGGACCAGTGTGAGCTGGATGTTGGATTTGGAACTGGAGCTGACCAACTGTTTTTGGTTTCCCCTTTAACCATCTGCCATGAAATCAACTCAGAGAGCCCCTTTTTCTGTCTCTCACAAAGATCCCTGAGGAGTGAGCAATTTGAAATCGTTGTCATCCTCGAAGGAATCGTTGAGACCACCGGTAAGGCTTGGAATAATCTGCATACTCTGATTTTTAATCTTTGTTTTTTTCAGTGCTGATATTTTTAGCAAGGCAGCTGTTAGTGCTGCATGCTGCAGCATTTCCTGCCATATGCTGCAGAGCTGCAGTGGCTCTCACAAGGAACAGAGACCTCCCTTCCTCACAGGGCTTGGCACTGCCAATCCCCAACGTGGCCAGCAAGGGACACAGCCTGCCACTCTGTGTGCCACAGCTCAATGCTTTTATGAGGCTTCTGTTTTAAGGATCATGACTCTGAAAGAAAGTTGAACTTTAAAATTTGTCAGTGCTGCAAAATTCCTTTTAGCCTAGTGTGGTATTTTCTAGGTCCCCAGGATGAAGGAGGAATTGAGAATCTGACTCCATGTTCTTAGAAGGCTAATATAATGTAATATAATAAGAATAATAATTTTATATAATATATAAAATATTAAAATAGATAAATAATATAAAAAATAAACCTATATTATAGGTTTATTTTTTATATTATTATTTTATATTATTTTTTATATAATTATTTTATATTATTATTTTATATTATAACCTATAAATATATTATTATATTATATTATATTATATTATATTATATTATATTATATTCATTACATTACATTATAGTATATTATACTATACTGTATTATACTATACTGTATTATACTATACTTATTATACTATACTGTATTATACTATATTGTATTATATTTTAAAGAATACTATACTAAAACTATACTAAACAATAGAGAAAGGAAACAGAAGGCTGCAAAGAATGATAATGAAACTCGTGACTGACTCCTCTGAGTCTGACACAGCTGGCTGTGATTGGTCATTAATTACAAAAAATTCACATGTTAGATCAGCAATCTCCAGATCACATTCCAAAGCAGCAAAACAGGGAGAAGCAATCAGATAATTATTGTTTTCATTCTTCTCTGAGGCTTCTCAGCTTCCCAGGAAAAGAAATTCTGGTGAAGGGATTTTTCCAGAAAATATGACAGTGACAGCCTAGCTTGCACTGACTTGAATTCGGAATAAGAAATCCACTTTTGCAGCACAAATACAGACCTGATAGTCACAGAGATAGTAGGCATATGTGGTTATTGACAAATTTGAGAAGAATTTTGTTTCTTTTTTAAATTTGGGTATGGTGTTGTCCAGAGGACAGCTTAATTTGGTGGCCTTTTGTTTTGAGGACTCAATTGGGATTGTTCAGCCTGGAAAAGAGAATCTTTGGGATGGCCTAATTGCTTCTAACACTAGAAAACAGTAAAGAAAATTAATTCTGTCCCAGCTGAAACCAGCATACAAGCTAATACTGTTTTATTTTACATTTTGCTATTGCTTGGTTGCAAGTCTGCATAAAAATTTAGTCAGTCAATGACTGTCAGAAGATTGTCTAGGAGCAACTGCCCCATTTTATAACCTATAAAATCACTGGCTTGCTGGCTGAAATTCATTTTTATCTGTCAGCCTCATGTATTTTTGGTTCCATGTGCCAGTCTGCTTGCTCACATGGAATGCTCTTGTCCATTTGCACAGGAATGACGTGCCAAGCCAGGACCTCCTACACAGAGGATGAAGTGCTGTGGGGTCACAGGTTCCTGCCAGTCATGTCTCTGGAAGATGGATTTTTCCGTGTGGATTATTCTCAGTTCCACGCCACCTTTGAGGTCCCCACTCCTCCTTACAGTGTCAAAGAGCAAGAAGAAAGCCTGTCCCAGTCATCTCTCTTGAACAGTCCTTCTGAGAAGAAAAGCAGAAGAGAACAGGTTTGTCCTCTTGACTGTGCTGATGTTACAGGAGAGAAGAACAAGCTCCCTGCTAAACTCCAGAAGATCAGCTCGAGGAAGGAGGGCCTTCCACCAAGAGCCCTGAGAATGAGTTCCTGTAACACACAGAAGAATTTCAGCACTGGAGATCTCTTGGAAATTGAAGAAATAAGTCCCATGTCTGATGGTGAAGACAGCGATCACAGGATGCAGCTGAAAGGCTTAAAAATCAATGCCAAGGCTCTGACTCAGTCCACCAGCAAGCTCGAGTTACAGAAGGATTTTCCAGGTATGGGCGCCCTAGAGGTGAAATGGAAAGATAATTTCCCTGCCAAACTTTGAAAAATGAACTCTGATTGCTTCTTTTAAGAGCTGGAGAAACAGAAGTTGCTGATAAACTGCATTTGAGACTGCTGCCCTGGAAGAGTTGTTTGACAGTAAAGTCACAACTTGGTTTTGCTGCTTTCAGGAAGAATGATCCTTTTTGTATAATTGTTCTGTACAGGTCCAATCTAGGTAGCATAGCAGGACTTTGAGGGGCAGTAAGGTTACCCTGTCATGCCAAAGAGATTCTTGCCCTGATAATGCTTATCAGCATGCTCATTGCAAATCCAGCCTGTCTTCCGTGTATGCAGATGCTTTTTCACAAAGCAAGGATCAGATCCTCAGGCACAGATGGGAGCAAGAAGGGTGTAAGAGCAGCTGGACCCTGGTTTTGTGCAGCTCAGGTCCTGGACTGCTCCTGATGGGCAGAACAGCAGAACACAGGAGGAATATGTGGCACTGCTCAGCCCTAGTCCAGCTGTCTCTTTGCAAAGAGGCTTTCCTGCTCCATCCTTCTTTCCCAGTGACTGTGGCACACTCCCTGTGTGCTCCCAGTGTCTCATCCATGGTCATTCAGGTGAGGAAGCAGTGTGCAATAACCATTTGGGTCACTTGGCCCACATGAGCTCTCCTAAACGTGAGGATCTTTATCCTGTCCAAAATTAGACCTCAGCATTTGATTTGGTGGATCACGTGCTGAATTTTAATGGCCATATCACCACTCACTGTGAAGGAAACTTGAGATCAGTAGCTCAGATTCTTGGCATGTTTTATACTGCAATTAAATGACATTTCAGTTTGGAGACATTGTAAGTTAAGAAATAAAAGCAAAATGCTAAATAATGCTCAGTCATTACACATCTCAGAGTTTTACTAATGAATGGTAGTGTTTGATGTTGCTGATTTTCATTTTGTTACATTTGCCTTCTCCATTTATATATGATTCTCAGTAATTTTGTAGATTTGATATTTATTGCTATTCAGCTCAATCCACCTCTGTCTGTGAGAGAGGCTTTTTCTTTCCTGGTTGGTAGTAATTATAAACATACCCTGCTGTTTGTAAACAGTGTTCAGTGGCTCAGCATCCAGTGTTCATCACCAGACCACTCTCCAATAAAGGATCAATTCTGCTCTTGTTACATGGACAAAATTCAGTCAGATTTAATTAAAAGGGGTGGCAGTGGCCATGTTGTTTGCTAATGCATTCCTTGATGGTAAAATTATGTATCCAGGCTATGAACAGCTTGGTTTGCAGAATTCTCTATTTCTTTTGATCTATCTACAGTGTGAAACTGGAAAATGCTGTTTTATGCAGGGTTAAGATGTGCTGCTTGTTGTTGTTTATCTGTTCTCAACATGAATTTCAACAATATATATGTGCTAAAATCTGTATTTTCATTTATCAACTGTATTTGTATGGAGTACTTAGATGACAGCATGAAGTCTTAAGTGATGATGACTCTGCCTACTCTCCAGAGCTGCCAAAATTAGTATAAAATAAAATTATATCCACCTTCAGGTCTCAGGTGTTCTTTACTCAAATGTGCATGTGTGTGTTGGAGCAGAGCAGCTCCAGGAGATGAGGCCCCACCCTTGGGCACACTCCCCCTCTGCTGTGGGGCAGAGTCATAGTATTAATTAACTGTTAATGAGCAACAATGCTAATTATCAATGAGTTACCCAACTTAGGGGCCAATGTTTTTTATACTGCCACTTATAAAATAATTAAACCTCCTCATTTCTATACACCGACACATAAAATTAACTTACAGAAAAACTAATTGCACCCTGGAGCACTTCACAATAGGAGAATGGGTGAACATAGATCTATACAAAATAAATGAACATCACCTAAAATGTTGAATTAATGCATTGTAGGAAGGTGCTCTTTACAGAGTAATGCTCATTACAACTCTCTCCCTACTACCACAGAGTGACAAAAGCAGTACTGCAACAAAATATTTAAAAAAACACAAAACCCCAAACCAAACAGAAAACCACACAGGCACACTGACACTACACACCCACTGTTAGCAACTGGTGATAAAAAGCACTAAGAAATAAAAGGATTAGGGTTAGGTTAGAGAAAAGAGTGGTAAAGATGCTCAGTGTAGGGGAACATGAGGCACCTTGCCAAAATATTCCTTGTGTGTCTGACAGATGTGGAGTCATTCTGAGTGCCAGCTGTGTCTGCAGGGGAGCTGTAGACAGTTTGTGTTTCACAATGGGGGTGGCACAATGCAATTCTGTCTGCCCACTGCTCAGAAATCCTTGCTCCTGCCTGAGGAACTCCTCCTCAATGTGTCTGGCCAATCTTCAGCCTTGAGTCTTTCTGGAACGGTGTCTCCTTGTTGTATTTGCTGGGAATGTCCTGATGAAGGCAGGAATGATGAATCAGGCAGCCCCAACTCTGGGAATGATTGGCATCTGACTCCAAGGCTTTGGAATGCTGAATGTTCTTTTTATTAAAACTTTATTATATTACATTATACTGTACTATATCTATACTACAAAGAATCCTAAAGAAAACTCATGACCGTCTCCTGACAGTCAGGACACAGCTTGGACCTGATAGGCTAATTAACATAAACAATTATTGTATTTACAGGGAATGCCCCAACAAAGGCAGGAATGATGAATCTGACCCCATGTTCTCAGAAGGCTAATTTATTATTTTATAATGCTATCATATATTAAAGAATACTGTACTAACGAATACAGAAAGGATACTTACTGAATACTAAAAAGATAATAATGAAAACTTGTGACTCTTTCCAGAGTCTTGACACAGCTTGGCCCTGATTGGCCAATGAGTCAAAACAATTCACATGAAACCAATGGAACAACCACCTGTGGGTAAACAATCTCCAAACACATTCCACATGAGCAAAGCACAGGAGAAGCAAATGAGATAAGGATTGTTTTCCTTTTCTCTGAGGCTTCTCAGCTTCCCAGGAGAAAGATCTTGGGCGAAGGGATTTTTCAGAGAATGTGAATGCCACATCTCCTGAGTCACGAGAGAGCCCAGTTCAAGTCCCACACCCAGGGATCCCCCTGATGGGCAGCATAAATCTGTGTTCCCAGCTGCTCTCCTCAAGAGCTGTAGCCCCTGTGACCAGTGTTCCCTTCTCCCATCACAGCTCTGTTTTGCTGGTGCCTGGCTTGGGAGTCCTTGTCTTGCGCAGGAGACTGGACTGCAAACACGTGCTAACAGTGTCTACAGACAACTTTATTTCCACAACTAAATTCCAGCATTTGTGTGCGTGCAGAGGAGGAAGATGGGCAGGAGAGAGGACACCTTTGACCCTGAGGCTGCCTTTGGATCAGCAGGCACTGCCCCAGTGTGAAGTGGTCATGGTCCACTGCAGCCTGCACTGGATCTTCTTCATCCTCCTGCTTCTGTCTTGTTCCCCATGAGGCTCTGCAGCATCTGGTGCACCTGAGTTAGGAAGTGCTGCAGTATCTCGTACGGATGTGGCGTGGGAAAGAGAGAGTCTGTTGGCATTGGCTCCACAGAGAAATTTGAGGGCCAGGGTATCTCTGGCATGGTTGCTGCAGTTGGCTGATAAGTACTGGCTGTAGTAGAGCAGCCTGCCTCTGTTGGTGTTGGCTGCACAGAGGGGGTTGTGCTGAAGGTTGGCGCTGGTGTTGGAGCCTCTGTGACAGCTGTCAGTGGACATGCAGTGGGAGTAGAGGTGGAGCAGCCTGATGGTGTTGGTGTTGGTGTTGGTGTTGGCTGCTCAAGAGGCATTGAGATGCAGGGTGACTCTGGCACTGAAGTGGCTGTCACAGGTGGGCACACGCCCATCTGGAACAGGATCCAGTTGTAGAAGTACTGAGTGGAGGTGTAGACTCCGGGCTGTTTGGCTTTGGCACAGCCTTTCCCCCAGCTGGTCACTCCAACCAGCCAGAAGTAGCTGGCACGGTTGTCTTTGCACACCAGAGGCCCTCCACTGTCACCCTGCAACACAGGAAGGAGGATTAGGGTGCTGTTGGGTGGCTGCTCTTGCACATTCATACACCTCATACATGATGCATAAATTCCATTCAAACACAGGATTCTGTCTGGTCATCATCAACTTCTTCCTCGGAATCCTGATGGTATTTTCAGGGCTGAGTGAAGTGGGAAGAAGTTCATTTCTTCTGATAATGGAGCAACAAATTCTCTTTCTTTGAAAGATTTAGGTGTCCTGTGGCTGCCATCTCAGTGTGAGTACCTCATTCCGTTCTTTAAAAAAATATCCCACATACTTGGTTTCTATTATAACATTATGTTATAGCCTAAAACTACATTTAACACGCTACTCAAGAGAATTAACACAGCTTCACTTTCTAACATGACACATATAATATTCATTTTCATATTTGTGAAAATCATAAAATATGCATTTTTCACACATATTCATACACCTCATACATGATGCATAAATTCAATTCAAACAAAGGATTCTATCTGGTCAGTGTCAGCTTCTTCCTCTTAATCCTAACAGTGTTGTCACAACTGAGCAAGGCAGGAAGAAGTTCATTTCTTCTGGTAATGGAGCAATAAATTCTCTTTCTCTGAAAGATTTAGGTGTCCTGTGGCTGCTATCTGGTGTGAGTACCTCATTCCTTTCTTTAAAAAAATATCCCATGTACATAGTTTCTATTTTAACATTATTAGTTTCTATTATTTAACATTATTTCTATTTTAACATTTTGACATTATAACCCTCTATTTTAACATTATGTCATAACCTAAAACTACATTTAACACGCTACTTGAGAAAATTAACACAGCATCACTTTCTAACATAACACATATAATGGTCATTTGCAAAAATCGTAAAATAGGCATTTTACAAAATCAAAAATGTGAAGTCCTACCTGGCAGGTGTCCATGGCACCCCGTGGGTAGCCAGCACACAGGTTGTGGGTGTGGATGGCCCCGGCGTACCAGCGGCTGCTGTTGACCAGCCGGATATCCATGAGCCGGACCTTGGCTTCCTGCAGGACATCGCTGGCACCCTGAGCTGGGAGCACAGCAAGGAGTGAGCACCCAGCAGCTCCCTGCCACCTCCACTGCCCTGTCTGGTGTTTTGTGGAGATAACCCAAAACTCCACAACTTTGAGGAAGTTGTAAAGCTGGTGTATTTATTACAGCGCAGGACGCATGTGGAGATTGCTCTCCTTAAAAGGCATGTGTACCTTTGAGAACTTCAGGTCCCTTTTTATCCCCCTCTCAGGTACATATGCCTACAATTACACAATAGGTTCATACATATCCATTTTTACAAATTTCATGTGACATTTGCCGCTAGTTCTTTTTTCAGAAAGAATTCCTGGGTCAGGTTGACCTGCTCTCACAGCAACCTCTGTCACCCCCCCCCCTTATCTCTGTCCTTCACTGAATCCCTGAGCCTTGGCCTTGCAGTCAGGCTACATAGCTATGTTTCAAAGTACAGACATAACACAAAGATGTACATTTCACCTAAATCAAAATGGGTTTCTACCCTGGAAAATTTCCACTTTGCCTCACTGGGGGTGAAGTCATTCCCCTTTGACACCGGCTAGGGTCTCTGTACAAATCATGAATGGGATGGGGCTGCTGTGGAACGTGCCTTGAGCTGTTTTATTTTCCAGCATCAGTCTCAGTACATGGTTATGATAATGGGAAGATGCCAGCAGTTCACATCTCAGGCAGCAGACTAAGAACTTAATGTTACAACTTACTTTGTAAGTTTTTTGACCAATCACACAAAGCAAAAGCACATTGACAGTAGTTCCATCCAATTACTATAAGCACATGTACCTTTGGTTAAAACAATGCTTGCTTATTTCAAATACAATACTTGTAAGCTTTACACAGAGCTCCAATATTAAGCTTCAAACTTCCTAATATCTTGCTAGATAAACTTTTCTGTAGCTTAGAGAGTTATTCTAGCCAAGAGTTAATCCACAGACCATTGTTCTATTTGTCCTTGCTTTTCTACAGTTTAAATAACTTTTCTGCTGACCTATCTCATGGCTGCTGCTTAGCTCTAATCACAGTTCTGCTGTCTCTGGGGCCTGCCTTTTGCAGCTTTCCCAAAACCCTCTAATTTTGTGGATTCCCACACCCAGGGCTTGGCTTTGCCTCTGGAGCAGCTGTTGAAGGGCTGTACCCTATAGGAATGTGCCCTCTGTTGATGGAGTGACAAAACTATACTTTGTCTCCTTGTTTGCTTTGTCTCTCTCTCTGAGTGACCATATTCCCACCTCCCTCGGGAGGGGACATTGCTGATAACAGCTATTGAATGTCACTGCATGACTGATAAGAACTATAACATCCCATTGTGAGATGCTCCACCCAGAGGGAGGAGCCAAGCATTGCTGCCCAGATATAATCCAGAGGGTTTGAGACACCAGCACGGCTTTCTGCACTGGATTCCCCAGAGGAACAGCAGCTGTCTCTTCTGCCACTGGATCTTCAGAGGAAGAATACATCCTTCTCTGCAGATCCCCCTGCTCCAACAGAACCACCTCTGACACTGCAGGAGAGCTGCAGCCACATTTCCAATGGGACTGCTACCAACACCCTGACCCACAGGGTGTCAGGCTGTGTTCTGACTGTGTCAGTGTTGTTCATGTGTACTGCATTGTTTATTTCATCCTTTTATTTTTTTCCCTTCCCTATTAAAGAACTGTTATTTCCTGCTCCCATATTTTTTTGCCTGAGAGCCCCTTAATTTAAAATTAAGCAATTGAGAGGGGTGGAGAGGGTTTACATTCTTCATTTCAGGGGAGGCTCCTGCCTTCCTTAGCAGACACCTGTCTTTTCAAACCAAGACAGCCCAGCTCATCCTCAGGGTGGAATAAGTGAGTTTTTGGAAGCTAACCTTTAGCACTGGCAGAACTCCATCCAGCAATGTAGCAGGTTTTCAGCTCTGACACGGTGAGCGAGGCGTTGGGCACGCAGGCGAGCTGCACGTAGTTGCTGCACTCCACGGGCTCGTCCAGCTCCAGCAGGGCAATGTCGTTCTGCTGGGAGTCAGCCGTGTACTCCTGGTGGGCCAGCAGCCTCTTGACGTGGCGCACCTGAGCCTCGGGGCCCAGGTGGCTCAGCTGGGTGGCCCCGATCAGCACGCGCCACTTGGTGACGTTCCTGCAGGGCAAAGAGACAGGGCTGAGAGGGAGCAGAGACGGGTGCTGGTGATACCTTAGGATTTGAGCTTTTGTGTTTTTTCATCTGTGACCGTGTTCACAGGGGTCTTAGGATGAGGGAAGAGATGAAGATCTGACTCCATGTTTCAGAAGGATTGATTGTCGCAGATATCTTTTCATTAAAAATCCTTTCCTTAGGATTTTTCCATTCTGAGAAGCTGAGAGGCCTCAGAAACAGAATGTAAGCAACGGTTATCTGCTGCTGTGGAATGCAACAGGTGGATCCCTGATTGGTCTCATGTGGTTGTTTCTAATTAATGGCCAATCGCAGTCAGCTGGCTCGGACTCTCTGTCCAAGACAGAAGCCTTTGTTACTCATTCCTTCTTTTTCTATTCTATTCTTAGCTAGCCTTCTGATAAGAACTTTTTCTTCTATTCTTTTTAGTATAGTTTTAATGTAATATATATCATAAAATAATAAATCAAGCCTTCTGAGACATGGAGTCAGATCTATGTCTCATCCCTCATCCTAAGACCTCTGTGAACACCGTCACAGCTTGATTTATTATTTTATGATATATATTACATTAAAACTATACTAAAAGAATAGAAGAAAGGATTTTGTGGGAATCTACAAAATTAGAGGGTTTTGGGAAAGCTGCAAGATGCAAGCTTTAGATACAGCAGAACTGTGGGCCAGAATAAAGCTCTGGATCCAAACCCTCCATCAGAACCAACTCCTTTCCTTAAATCCTCTCTGCCAGAGGTAAACCCAAGGATCAGACCCTGTTACGGGGGGAAGCTCCATTCCACCACCACCAGAGCTCCTGCAGGCCTGGAATTGTCGCCACATGCCCAGATGCAGCACCCAGCCAGCCAAAAGCGTCTGTGGGGTGAAACACCACACACCCAGCCGGCCAAAAGTGTCTCTGTGGTGAAACACCACACACTCAGCCGGCCAAAAGTGTCTGTGGGGTGAAACACCACAGTGCCGCTATTTGGTTTGGCCCCAAGGCCCAGACAAACTCAGGCATGTCCTGTCTGGCTATATTGGTAATTATTCCAATATATCCTCCTTACCTGGCCTGGAGGAAGCAGTGTGCTGCTGTGAGGACCCACTGTGGGCTGATGAGGGACCCTCCACACGTGTGGCCGCTTCCATCTTTCCTGGGGTCCTGGATGCTGACAATCCAGGGCCAGGCCCCGGGCAGGGCCCCTGTGCCAGCCATGATTCTGTAGTCAGCAGTTATGGAGTCGTAGTCAGCCATGGGCCGCTGCCCACAGGTCCCTCTGGAAGCACAAGGTCATTATTAGAGTGATCAAGTTCTGGAATGTTCTGCCCCGGGAGGTGGTGGAGTCACAGTCCCTGGGTGTGTTTAACAAAGCCTGGATGTGGCTCTGGGTGCCAGGGTTGAGTTGAGGGGTTGGGGCTGGGTTGGACTCGATGATCTTGAAGGTCTCTTCCAACCTGGCATTCTGTTCTGTTCTTTGTGCTCACACCATTCCCACAAGGTCATTTCCCCTGCAGTGCTCACCAGTGACACCAGGACAGGAGGAATTTAGGCTGGGCATGAGGAAAAAATCCTTCACAGAAAGAGGGACTGGCACTGGAATGTGCTGCCAGGGAGGTGGGCACTGCCCTGGATGTGTTTAAACAAGCCTGGATGTGGCACTGGGTGCCAACGTTTAGTGGAGAAGATGTTGGGGCTGGGTTGGACTTGATGATCTTGAAGGTCTTTTCCAATCTGGTCATTCTGGGAATTTTGGGACTGGGGAGGTGGTGGAGTCACCATCCCTGATGTGTTTAAACAAGCCTGGATGTGGCTCTGCGTGCCAGGGTTTGGTTGAGGTGTCAGGGAAAGGACTCAATGATCTTGAAGGTCTCTTCCAACCCAGTGATTCTGTTAATTCTGTGAATTCTGTGATTACTGCCCTGCCCAGCACCTTCTGCTGCCCATTCTGGCTCCTTCTGCCCCCTCCCAGATGGGGTTTGGGGTGTGACAATGGGTGACAAGCCCCCTCCCAGAGCCTGGGGCCATACCTGCAGTTGTCCCAGGTGCCATGTGCAGGTGTGTACACAGCCAGGAGGATGAGGAGGTACAGCAGGCTCATCACTGCCAGCTGAAAGAAACAAAGGCTTGTCTCTTCCAGGGCAGCCTCTGAGCCAAGTGCCTGCAGCAGCTGCATTGCCCCTGGCACCTGCAGCCCTGGGGCTGATGTCACAGACTGGGTGGTTCCAGGTTCTGGGCACGGTGGCCTCAGAGGGCAGGGAAAGGCCACAGCCTCAGGGAACCACAGGATGGTTTGGGCTGGGAGGGATCTTGAAGGTCACGCAAGGAAAAAAGGGTCCCGTGCCTGCAAAATGACAAATCTGGCAAAATGGGAAAGTCACTCCAAAGGCTTCCCCAAAGGGAGCAGAGGGACACCCAGGTTCCTCAAAGGGAGCAGAGGGACACCCAGGTACCCAAAAAGGAGCAGGGGGACACCCAGGTACCCAAAAAGGAGTAGAGGGACACCCAGGTACTCAAAAAGGAGAAGAGGGACACCCAGGTACCCAAAAAGGAGCAGAAGGACACCCAGGTTCACCCCGGGGAGCAGAGGGACACCCAGGTACCCAAAAAGGAGCAGAGGGACACCGAGGTTCCTCAAAGGGAGCAGAGGGACACCCAGGAGGAGAGGGACATCCAGGTTCCTCAAAGGGAGCAGAGGGACACCCAGGTACCCAAAAAGGAGCAGCGGGACACCCAGGTACCCCAAAAGGAGCAGAGGGACACCCAGGTTCACCAAAAGGAGAAGAGGGACATCTGGGTTCACCCCAGGGAGCAGAGGGACACTCAGGTTCCTCTGAGGAAGCAGAGGGACACCCAGGTTCACCAAAAGGAGCAGAGGGACACCCAGGTTCCTCAAAGGAAGCAGAGGGACCCTGAAGTACCCCAAAGGGAGCAGAGGGACACCCAGGTTCTTCAAAGGGAGCACAGGGACACCCAGGTTCTCCCTTTTTTAGGGAGCAATCAGGATCCAAATTCTGGGGTTTTTTTAAGGCTGTCAGGGCACCTTCCTGGGCACTTACCCTTTGATTTTTATCTAAATCTGCAGTGGTTTTGATGAGGCCTCAAAATGAAGTGCACAAAACAGATCTTCCTCCCCTGAAGCTGCAGCTTCCCCCAGCTCAGAGGGAGCAGAATTAACCTTTGCTGGGAGGAGTTTTGTTACAGTGACCATCACCTGGACCCTCTGGGGACAATCCCAATCCTTGGCCACATGGATACAACAATCACAGTATAATAGAGAGTTTTCTATCATGTACTTCTTTTTCTTCTGATTTCTTCAAAATGTCCTTGAGACCTTAAAATTCTGCATTCCTTGTGTCCCATTTCAGCAATATATCTGTCTCTCTTCAGACTTTGTTCATTGAGGCATATCAAGTTTTAATTTAATAATTCTTTAGAGTGCCAGTAATTTCTTCAGTAATTTTTCCAAACTTTGTTTCCAAAGTTAAAAGTTAATTAAAATTAATTGAAATTAGTTTTAAATTTTTATATTAAAAGCTTTCATGCTCCCCTATGAGCAGGGGGCAGGCAGTGGTCACAAGTGCCATTATTGATGAGAGAACCACACATTTCTTCTTTCTTAGGCATAGCAGGATATGACAAACTTGGGAGAACAGAGGACATCTAAACTACAATAACAGAACTATGCATCACTGAAGCTTTTTTAATATTCCCACAATAGTTCCCTTTTCTTGGATCCTGATCTGAGGCTGCTGTGGGGCTTGCAGGGAAATTATTTTGTGCAATTATTGCCTAGTTGGAAGTGAGAAGAAAAACCTTATTCCTAAATTAACACAAATATAAATGGAGTTTGTGGTGGTTCTGGCACCTCCTGCCTGTGCCTCAGACTCTCCCCAGCCAGGAAGGTGTTTGGTGGGCCCTGATCTCCAAAAATCCATCCTTGCTTTCACAGCCTTGTGACAGAACTTGAACCCCAGTTCAAGTGGGGGTGATGCCTTTTGGGACTACATAAGCACAGAGGCCAGACACAATAAATAAAATAAAATAATAATAAAAGTGGAATAAAAAGTGGTTATGTTTATTGAAGGGCCTTCAATAAAGGTACATTTTGGGCAGATGAAGTTCCTCCAGGTGCTACACCTAAAAATGAACCACGGGTCATGGATTTTTACATTTTTATAAGTTTGGGCCGTTTGCATATTGGGGGTTAATCTTACAATTACAGCTTCAGGTAATGAAGTCATTTACCCCAAGTTTGCTATCCCCAACTCACTTTTGTTCATATCTTTTGGGGCCTGAGGCAGTGAGGTGTCCTTGGAGAGGAATTGTTGTGTCTGACCAGAATGGGAAAGCAGCAGCTCACGTTGAATATAGAGTTTAGAGTTATACAGGAAAGAATTGCAGGATTACAAATATATGAAAAATATAAAAGTTAAATTTGAAGGCATCAGGGGTGAATAGCAGCCTCCTTCAAGCATGAGGAACACCAGCTGCTGCTCAGAACTCCAGAGCATGGCCCAAAACCACATGGATCAAGTGGAGCAGGAACAAACCTGCCTCCAGCTGTCCTGAGTGGGAATCTGGCTAAAGCTGTGTCTGATCAAACCCAGCCTGACCAAGCCTGGAGGAAGGAGTCAATGTGAAGCTGTAAAGAGTTCACTCAGCTCAGGCTGTGCTGGGTCCCTTTGATGGTCCAGGTCAGCCTGGGGGTACATTGAGGGCAGATAAAATTCACTGCGTTAGGTTTGCCCAATTATCCCATCATAAAAAAACCAAACAATATTAGAGGTAGCAGCAGTTTTAATTGAATAGTTTAGAAAATATACATTGACAATATAATTTGATTAAAAATAAGGGATAATTTGGGGGTTCATTTTCGATGAAGGCCTCTCCTCTTCCTCGATGTCCTTTAATTCACCCTCGGGTTACACATGTGCACCAAGCTAGTATAATGTAAGCCAAAACTAACATATTACTGCATTTAAGCATCAAAGCAATAAATCTCTCATAGCTGGCATTTTCCTGGGATCCAACCAGATTTTCCCTTCTTTCTGTTAGTTTTTAGTAACTGTTATCTCTTGTTTTTCCTGCCCTTGAACATCTGCAGGAAATGGGGGGGTGGAACCCCTCCTCTCCCTTTCTTTCTTGGCATGACACCTTTTCACTGTTTTATTATTTCCAAATATTAATTACTGCATCCATATTGATTACTGTTATTAATTCTGTCACCATGAATCATATCTGTTTACCACAACTGGAAATGACCTTGTGAGGGCCTTGGGTGCTTTGCCAGTGGAACAGAAATCCTCAGTGACCTGTGTGCCAGGCAGAGCTGTGACCAGGATTGTGACAGCTCTGGCAGACCTGTGCTCGTTCATCTCTGTGGTTTGGGGAAGGACTAGCAGCTCTTTCCAATGAACCCCTCTTCATCAGCAGCTCAGGGAGAATCCCAGTGACTTCCACCATGAGAGGAGCCAGGTGGGTTCCTGTGCGTCACAGACACATTTTTATGAAAAATCCTTTCCTTAGGGTTTTTCCTCCCGAGAAGCTGAGAAGCCTCAGGAACAAAATGCAAACAATGGTTATCTGCTGCTGTGGAATGCAACAGGTGCATCTGTGGTTTCATGTGGTTGTTTCTAATTAATAGCCAATGAAAGTGAGCTGGCTCAGACTCTCTGTCCCAGCCACAAACCTTTGTTATTCATTCTTTTCTATTCTATTCTTAGCCAGCCTTCTGAGGAGAACGTTTTCTTCTATTCTTTTAGTATAGTTTAATGTAATATATATAATAAAATAATAAATCAGCCTTCTGAAGCATGGAGTCAGAACTCCGTCTCTTCCTTCAACATAAGACCCCTGTGAACACCGTCACACCTGTGCCCATGTGGCCTCAAGGGGACACATCCCTGTGTCACAGAGGGGCAGAGATGTGGCACCTGTGCAGTGATTGTGACCTCACCTGCCCAATGCTGGGTGTCCTGAGGGCAGGCTAATGAAAGAGCTGGCCTGCAGGATAACTCAGCTTCTTCCTCTACTACTCATGTGCCTGCCTATTAAACAAATTTATTGCTTACTGTCCTCCTCAACTTTCATCCTCTCTAAGGTAATTATGATTTGACTCTTGACATAGTGTGACAGCATTCACAGGGGTCTTAGGATGAGGGAAGAGATGTAGATTTGACTCCATATTTCAGAAGGCTGATTTATTATTTTAAGATGCATATTACATTAAAACTATACTAAAAGAATAGAAGAAAAGGTTCTCAGAAGGCTGGCTAAGAATAGAATAGAAAGGCAAGAATGATAACAAAGGCAGCTGCCTCAGACTCTCTGTCTGAGCCAGCTCACTTTGATAGGCCATTAATTACAAACAACTCTATGAAACCAATCACAGATGCACCTGTTGCATCCCACAGCAGCAGATAACCATTGTTTACATTTTGTTCTTGAGGCCTCTCAGCTTCTCAGGAGAAAAAATACTAAAGAAAGGATTTTCATAAAAAGATGTGTGTGACAAGATAGAGCACAGAGGAAGGAGATATGGGATAAAAGTCTAGGCTGGTTTATACCTTGTGGCTGCCCAGATACAGGCCAGGCTAGAGATCTTATTTGCTGATTCTCTTTAGCCTAGGATGGGTAAGTAGGGGGTGATTATAGTCTGAGGGGCACAAAGCCCACCCTGGCTGGTGCAGGAGGGAGTGAGACAGAAAAAGGAGAGCAGTAAAGGCAGTAGTTAAATTAAATTAGTGGCTGAAATCTGGGCACTCCTGCAGAGGAGGAGGGAAAGCCAGAGAAGGGAACATGCACTGGAGCACTCCAGAGGAACCTCTGAACCTCCTGTGGGCTGGGGTTCTGTCACTGATCCCAAAGGTGTGAGCCTGCAGTTCAGCAGCTGGTACAGGCACCACTGAAACTCTGGATGGCAAATGCTGTTATATTGGTTGTATTTTTTATACTTTTGGTGAGCTACAGTAATTTCTTTGCAATCAGGTGATGGGATTGACACAGATCTCTCTATTCTGGAGCATGTCCTGATGTCCTTGGTCATCCAGAGCTTTGCCCTCTGCTCCTGAGAGAGGCAATGGCCACAACAGGGAAGGATTT